TGTTATTATAATAGTAAAGTATGTGTTTCTACTTTTTAATTTGTTCAAATTTAAATTCTTTTTTTAAAAAAATTTGTATATAGGAACACTTTAACCCGTTTTGATACGTTGTGGGGGATGGAGTCTAGAAAATTGTTTGGGAGTACTACTGTCCTAAAAGTTTGATTTTTTCACTGTTTAAATTAGGGTGAGCTTCATACTGTTATTAATAAAATAAAATATCTAAAAAAACCCTTGCTTAACTAAATTGCATTGAGCTTGAACCAAACACGACTTGGGCCAGTGAAATTTAATAATAATCTCATGGGGTGTCCCTTTCCAAATTAAAACTGAGGAATCAAAGATAAGTTCAACTCTCTATGAAAGACGAACTGAAAATCATTCATAAACAATTTCAATAACCAATTAAATCTTTCTCACATTCCCAAACCGGTTCGAGTGCATCATCTTGAGAAGTAATACGGTGGTTGTCCAGTCAAATTGAGACGAATACTTGTCATTGAAAAAAAACAAACAAACAAACATAGCAACACATTCAATTAATTAAAAATAGAAATATACAACACATTCTGGGAGCCCAATTAAATCACATCCTTCCAATTCTACTTAACCTCAAAAACTCTAACCAACATAACAGAAATCTTAGTACTATATCAACCCATTGCCTCACAAGATCGAATTCAAATCATAGCCAAACCAACCAAAAGGTGTCCTCCAATTCCAAAAAACTTGCCAAAGCATGGCATCAAGTATGCGAGCCCTTTTGTTCTCTTCATTGTTAGGTCTTCTTGTTGTAGTGGGTGCTCACCATTATGACCCTAAAACCAAGAAAATGACTTATTTTGACAAGAACAAAATTTATCAAGTACACAGATCAAAGACATTGCATGCACCTAAAATTAAACCTAGTCAAATCAAGGGACCCAAACATGTCACAAAGCCACCCCTCCATGACACCAAAGGACCCAACCAGCCATCCAACTCCAATGCTGGCCCTTGGAAGGATGCTCATGCCACCTTCTATGATGGACATGATATTTATTCAGGAGGAGCTTGTGGTTATGGTGACCTAAGACAACAAGGCTATGGCATGAATACAGCAGCCTTGAGCACGGCTTTGTTCAACCAAGGAGCGGCCTGCGGTGCTTGTTTTGAGATCAAATGCGTCAATGATCCAGAATGGTGCGTCGCCAGAGCACAACCACTCATTGTTACAGCAACCAACTTCTGCCCACCAAATTTCTATCAGTCAGCTGATGCTGGAGGATGGTGCAATCCACCCCGTGAGCATTTCGACTTGGCACAGCCTGCATTCCTTCAAATTGCCAATTATAAGGCTGGCATTATCCCAGTTCAATATAGAAGGTATAGTCAGATTTCACATTCTCAAACCTTGGTTCATCATAGAACCAAATTTAGCTATATAAAAGATCATGCTAATAAACATGTAACACATTACAAGTAAATTGATATATTTATTGATTTTCAGGGTTCCATGCAAAAAGCAAGGAGGAATTAGATTCACAGTATCTGGAAATCCTTATTTTGACTTGGTGATGGTATGGAACGTAGGAGGGGACGGATCTGTCACAAGTGTTGAAGTAAAGGGTGACAAGTCAAATTGGTTCCCAATGAAGAGAAACTGGGGCCAATTGTGGGAGACCCATGAAATGTTGTGTGGACAATCTTTGAGCTTTAAGGTCACAACCAGTGATGGCAAATGTGTTACTAATATGGATGTACTCCCCAAGGACTGGCAATATGGTCTGACGTACGAAGGCCACAACTTTGATTGAAAAATATAGGAGCTCTATATATATATATACACTGCACACACGTGTGCACCTACTCTTATATATTCTTCCCCTTGCACAATTCTTGTTTCATTTGATCCCTAATGCTTGGTGGCCGTAGAAACTGTTGTACCAGCATGCATAAAGGACAATAATTGTGTAATTGTTTTAAATATGCAAGGCAATAAATTACAGATTTACTTATATATAAAAATGATCATTAATATCTATATTGTTGGGTGTTCCGTACACATTACATGCGCAAATATAAAGCAGCATATGAAGAAATACAGTTCAATATAATTTTATGCTATGATTATATCAATTCATTATTAGTACGCCTTTGTTTTGGCTATATCATCTTTTAAGTTCAAAACAGGTACAGTACACTGTCTGAACCCAAACTCAACTTTTACCATACACGCTCGACTTAAATTGATTCCTAATGGGAGTTAAATCTTGGCAAACCTCAAACACTCACCTACATTATACCCCAATATGAATCTGACACAAAAAAATAAAAATAAAAATAAAAATAAAATAAAAAACCTCTTAAGTACCTTGATGAAATCAACCAAAATCAATATCAGAACCATACTATATACAAAAAAGTGATAAACTATTTAAGAAAAAGATATTATAAGTCGGCAACAAGTCCTAATATAATCCTCGTAGATTTTTAAGTTGAATGAGCAGGCTAAGGCCGATAAGGCATGCGCATGATAGAAATGAACTGACTAGATTGATATATAACAGCGAATATACGAAAAGAAAAATACGGAAAATGAAGATGGCGGTTAATTTTATTTTAAATTAATTTTAAAACTTGGAATTTCTCAGGCTCATTCATGCTGGAATGCACCTAATGTTCTGAACACCACTCTAAATCCAACTGGAATACACGACAAGCTGTTTGTAATGCTTACAAATCAATATTATTCATTGGAAAAAAAATGCTTACAACTTCAGACAATATTTTAGCTTCTGTTTTTTTTTTCCCACCTGATTGGAAATATTCAAGAAATAGCTGATGTTCAAGCCCTTATAACATAATTTATAAATAGATATTGCAGCTCCCGTGATGGGCATACACTGAAAAATAACCCCAATGTAGATTTGTTAAAGCTTGCCTCATAACCCCAATTGATGGTACTTTCAGACCTCAATGTTTTAAGAATTATGCACCAAACGTAAAGTAATAATCATTTAAGCACTAGTATACGTCACGCAATCTCATTATGAAGTCTTACCCCAAGTTCGTCGCTGAAAATAAATACAATTCCATGTTACCCAATAATTGCTTAATAGGAATTATCCTAAGAAAATATAGCTCTAGAATAGAAACCCCAATCGAATTACGAATTTGAGATGCCTCATCAGTTTACAAGCCACATGGGCACCTATTGAAAAATGGCATAGCCCTGATATTGAGAATTGAAGTCAAGGAGTCGAGAGTCAAGATTCTCAACTAATTGAGCTTCAATCTTTTAATTAATTCCATACCGATCTGATCTGGGATTTTTTTTTTTTTTTTTGCAAAAAAATAGTAAAGGGGGTCAAATGCAGTTTACCCATTTATACACAGACACACATGTAGGAGTAATAGATTCACACGGGCATATGTTTATTTTTGGGGCTCAGATCAATAGGATTAAACTAACAGACCTCAAGATTGCATTTGTGGGTAAACATATATATATATATACACACACACACATACATGCAGATAAAGTATAGAACAGCTGGATGTCTCTAATGGCTGAAATGCTAATTTGGGGCGTGATTTATGTCATGAATTAGTGAACACTTGGAATCTATATATGTTTGTGTTAATGATTCAATAATTCGTAATCAATAAATTTGATATGATCTGAATCTTTCATGGTTTAAATTTTAATGGTCAGTGATAGTACTTGCATTTCAATGGAAGAGAGAGAACGTAGAGAGATAGAGAATTTATTAAGTGTATTTTGGGGTTTTAAAATATATATATTAATAAATAAATAAAATAAATTTGGTCAAAATTGATGGTCAGTGATATTAGGAGTCAATTTGTAAATATTTTTCAAATGTTAAAATAAAAGATAATATGTTCGGACTAAATAGGAGGGGTGTTTTATGCACAATTTTGATATAGCAGGAGATTTCTTGCACTTTACACTTAAATATAGAAGTTCCTCTTCATAAACTCAATCAAAAAGTTCATATTGCTTAAACCCTCTACCCTTAGTGGGCTGGCGAATTTTTTTGGCGAATGTTCGATAAAATGATGATAATACTAACATCAAATGCAAATATGCAATAGTCATGAAAAAGACCCATAGAACCCTGCTGGCCTTTCAAAGTAAAGGCCGAGGGTTGAGTCCCCTTATGTAATTATAATTGTGTGTTTTGCCTTTTCTTGATAGTTGAGACTCAATCTCTGGAGTCATAGTGATTAGTGGGTGTGTAATAGTTTCTTGTCAAGGTAAATAAAACATAAAAAAAAACAAAAAGGTCATGAAAAACAACAAAAAAATGTCGACAATTTTAATACCAGACTTTTTGAGACTGACCTTTCGCTTATGAGGTTGAGGTTGAGGCTGAGCATGACCATCTTTGGCCTCACGAGACGCTCTCTTCGCCAAAATTGGTAGTATTTTCCCTCGTTGTGCAATGTCAGACAAAGCCTGCACTCGTACCCACATAGACAATCACAACAACATCAGAACCACCAATTTATATATATATATATATATATATATATATATACACTCAAGATTACGAGGAGGAGACGAAGGGGACCTTCCCAGATGCTTTCACACCAAATAGGTATCTTTGGCGTTTCGAGAGTGAGACTCCGCAGCCGCTCATGTCGGTCGATGGCTTCGCTCTGGGCTGAGGCGGCGCGTCCGCCACCAGGGCTTCGAACCCCCAGTCCCTGTCCATCAATCTCTCTCTCTCTCGAACTCCCTTGTCTTTGTCGAACTATAGTGTCGCAAAAACCGACTTATGAAGTGGGTCGGGTTTGGGTCATTGAGTTAGGGCCCAGAAATGTTGGAGTATTTCATAGCGTCTTTTATCCGAGTTTCTTACACTAACTTCTCTTTCACCAATACAGAACTACATTGAACAAGAAAAAAAAATTATATAACGAATCAATTAAAAACCAAACATCCAACAGAAAAGAATATAAAAGTATAACCACGTACTCAATCACATGGTACGATGTTATTCATTTCGGGCACAACTATTTTGCTGGTGGATTTTATTTTGGGCACAAACTGTTTAGCTCGTGAATTTTATCGTAAAAAGTTTTGTGCGAATTAGAGACAGTAAAAGTACATTATAACACTTCACATTTTTTTTACTTTTGAAATTGTGCAAGGCGTACGGCTCATCTAGTGTAGTACCTCCTCCCCTAATGTCTATTCACCCCCCATCCGGAAGTAAGAAATTTGTTGTTGGAGAGAGAAAATTGGAGTTATAGAGAGAAAAATTTAAATGAAAAAAAGTTAAAAAAGTATGTCATTTAAATGATGATTTGTCAAGTTTTTTTTAAAATTTATTCATATTTTTTTATTGATCCACGCCAGACCACCTAAAATTTTCTCTTTACCTATTTCTGTCTCCATATATTTTTTTTGGGGGCGCTCTCCTATTTTTTTACTCTCCTATCTGCTTCTCTCTCTTATAAAATAAATCTCTCTTCGTTTGTTTTTTTGTCTGCTTCTCTCTCTCTCTACCTCTCTCTATATTTTCCCCCTCATCTCGGTTTCTCTCTCTACTGGGCGGTGTTTGTTTTTTTTTGCCCAAGAATTTTGCTGACTTTTATTGACATATGCTTAAATATTTTATTTTTTTTTTTTGAATATTTATCTGTTTAATTATTAAATATAAGAAAATAAATATTTACCAACTAATTAAAACTCCTACTTATAACAGTCAAGGCTTCTTTTTTAAATATATATATAATTAATATGATTGGCAGAGTAAATTGTATGCTGAAAAAAAATAAAATTTGTAACAAGTGAGATCAAAAAGTGAATAAAAAACTACTACACGAACAATTCTTTTCTTTTCTTTTTTTGGTATTCGACAACAAAAATAATTTGATAATTTGTGTTTAAAAATATTCGAGTAATCGAGTTGGGTGTGGATTGACTAGCCCATCATGAATGGGTTAATATTGGATTATTGACTCATTATTGACTCGACCATTCATGATCTATCCAAAACTCGTCCAAACCCACCCAATTGCCACCCCGAATTTTATCCATGCATTTCATATAGGCATTTGTTGGTGCATAAAATACAAGCGTTATTGCAATGATGAGGTTATTTCATTGTGATCTAAATACTTTGATTTAAAATAAAAAAACAATATAATTCTCCATGTGAAAATAAAACTGTGTAACGACTCTTCCAAGACCCTACAGTAACGAGATCCTCGTCCCATTTTTATACCACATGAGCCTCATTGCTTCAGTAGCATGAAGTCATGGAACTCAAGAATAGGTTTCAAACCATCAACTTAAATACGAATAATGAATACGGATGGTCCGATATCAACAATATAACAAATTTTTAAATAATAGGATACGATTATGCAAAAACACAATAATATACATACAAATATATAAAAACTTATATATATGTGTAAACTTTAATATATATATATATATCCATGGATAAATTTAAATCATACTTATCTATGTCATATATATTGTTATTAATAGTTCTTTATAGAATGGTATGATTAATAAACAAAATAATAGCTTAGAGTCCTATTGCATACTTTGTATGAATAATTTTATACTAAATCATGATTTATGTTAATATTTCTTTTTAAAATAATTTGTGATAAATATCTCAATACTTTTTTTAAAAAAAAAAAAAATTGAACTTTTCTTAACAATTATATTTTAATATTGTTGTTGAAAAAGTTACATTTTAATATTTAAAATTTGTTAAAAATGTGTTTTGAAATTTTTAATACGTGGTTTATGTATCAGTATTGAATATATATTAATATATTTAGTGTGTGTGTGTGTATATATATATATATATATATATATATATTTAAAAGTATCAGTATTGAATATATATTAATATATATATATATATATTTAAAATTATAGATACATACATTTCAAAAAATAAAAAATTATAAATTATAAATACGTGTAAGAATAATTAGACATTTATTTGTCAGCATCCAACGAGAATTATTATTTCGTAGGGACACCAATTGAGTACGTTAGTGTGGTAAAATGATGTGTGCTTACTTAGATGAGCAACAACATTTTGTTCTTTTATTGATGATTCATACACAAACTACAAATAATCCAAACGAACAAATCAAATGGTGCATGTAGTGGGTGCTTTCCATACCTTGCAAGGATACGTATTATTTAAAAATAGAACACATTCTGGCAGCCCAATTAAATTACAACCCTCCAATTCTACTTAACCTCAAAAACCCTAACGAAACAAAACAGAAATCTAAAACTATATATTTACCGAAAAACAGAAATGTAAAACTATATATTTACCGAAAAACAGAAATGTAAAACTATATAAATTGTCATTGCCTCACAAAAATTTAAATCATAGTCAAATCAACCAAAGCAATGTCATCAAAATTGGGAGCCCTTTTGTTCTCTTCATTGTTAGGTCTTTTTGTTGCGGTGGGTGCTCAAAATGCTGGTGTTTGGAAGGATGCTAATGCCACCTTCTACGGAGGATCAGATGGCTCAGGCACAAATGGTAGGTCGTGTATGTGCTAATTTATTATGAAAAATAAAAGCTTTAAGTTATTTGTATCTTCTAACACGTCCTCTCACGTGAGATTAAGTTTATTCTTTACACTATTCATGACGACTAACCGGTGACATTAATATTTATATGTGCAGGGGGAGCTTGTGGTTATGATGACCTAAAACGAGAAGGTTTTGGCTTAATGACAGCGGCCTTAAGCATGGCTTTGTTCAACCAAGGAGCGGCCTGCGGTGCTTGCTATGAGATCAAATGCGTGAATAATCCGGAATGGTGCAACCCCGGAGAGCCATCGATCATTGTCACAGCCACCAACTTCTGCCCGCCAAATTTCTTTAAATCAGCTGATGCTGGTGGATGGTGCAATCCACCCCATGAGCATTTTGACTTGGCACAGCCTGCATTCATCCAAATTGCCAAGGATAAAGTTGGAATTATCCCAGTTCAATATCGAAGGTAAAATAATCAGCTCACACATTCTCAAACCTTAGTTCATGATAGAATCATAGAACCAAATTTAGCTTATATATATAGAACAACGTCCTAATAAATATTTACCATATTAATTACAAGTAATTAAATCAATTTTTATTTTTATTTTTGCAGGGTTCCATGCAAAAAGCAAGGAGGTATTAGATTCACGATAACTGGAAATCCTTTTGTTGACTTGGTGATGGTGTGGAACGTTGGAGGGGCCGGAGACGTCACAGCCGTTGAAGTAAAGGGTGACAAGCCAAATTGGTACCCAATGAAGAGGAATTGGGGCCAGTTGTGGGAGACTCATGAAAAGTTGGTGGGACAATCTCTGAGCTTTAAGGTCATAACCAGTGATGGCAAAAGTGTTAATTCAATGGATGCACTCCCAAAGGACTGGAAATATGGTCAGACATACGAAGGCCATAACTTCGATTGAAAAACTTAGGAGCTCTGTGTGTTTACACTAGCATGCATAAAGGACAATAATTTTGCAATTGTTTTGCATATTCAAGGCAATAAGTCACATAACAGCATACTTATAAATACAGTTTAATATAATTTTATGCAATTATTATATTAACTCATTATTAGGATGACTTTATTTATTAGAGAAAGTTTACAGGTACTTACACGTGATATCCCTTAATAATAGACATGGGTTTGTAATCCATTATAAAAATGATATGAGGTTTTTTTTTTTTTCAAACTTCTAAGTACCCTGATGAAATTGACTAAAATCATGATCAAACACACAGTTTTTAGTTATATGTGTTTGAACTATGTGTTTGATCATGATTTTAGTCAATTTCATCAAGGTACTTACACATATATAAAATGAAGAAGTTATAAACTATTCAAGAAAAAAGATATTTTAAGGGAGGAACATATATGTTAGAAAATGAACCGTCTACATTGATATATAACTGTGAAACCTATAGGCTATAACAGCATTTTAATTAGTCATTCACCGTTTTGAAAAAAATAAATAAATAAATAAATAAATCTCCTTGGAAAAAAAATTTGACAAAAAACCCCTGATTATCAAATTTGTTATAAAGTGATATTATAATGATGATAATGCCCCTTAATATAAAGGGTTAATTACACTAGCACTCCATCAAGTTTGGCCAAATATCACAGTAAAATATCTTTCAAAAATAACTATTACTCACAATGCAAACGTTTAGTTCATTTTTTACTTACACCGCAAAAGTTACTTTTAAGATGTGTCAAGCTACTATTTATATGTAAAAATGCATTATTACCCCCTTTGACTTTGTGTTGACTTACAAAAGGGCTGCTTAATGTATAAAATTACATTTCTACCCCATTAGACCCATATTAAGTGATCAAAATACCCATTGGAATATGTGTGTACAAGAATTTAAACAAAATTCATAAAATAGATAAGTAAAAACTAAAAATAGATCGCTTAATATATATAGGGTGTTGGTGTTGTTGGATAACAAATGGGGGTAATTTCGTCCTTATACAATTATGATGTTTTAGATTAAAAGGCATAAGAAAATATAATGGTGAAAATGTCATTTCAAACCCATTTTGACGGTGTCAGTGATGAAAAAGTGATTTGGGGTGTGAGTGATATTAATTTTCGAAATGTGTTTCAATGTGACATATGACCAAACCTGAGGGGGTGTCAGTATAATTAACCCTAATATAAATTTAAGAAAGAATTTCATTTTAGGTTCTAATTCCTTTAAAATTTTGAAAATTACACATCATTAAAGTGATGTTATAAAAAAATCCTCTTAATAAAAATTTAAGAAAATTTATCTTTACTCTAAAATAATTTTCATTTTAGGTTTTCTTTTTCTTTTTATTTTTTAAAAATAATAATTTAAGAAAAAACTGGAAATTATTTTAAGGTATTTTAATTTTTTTATTGACTCACCATTAAAAAAGATCATTTTTTTTTTTTTTTTTTTTTTTTAACAACACCATGCCAAATGAAAATATACTTTTTTTTAAGAACGTCCCTCTTTTCTTGTGATTAAGAATCCGCAAGGGTTTGTTTGGTTAGACTGAAAATTTTATGGAAAGGGAAAGTGAAAGAAAGGAAAATTAAGTTTCTATCATGCATTTGGTTAGCAGGAAATATTTTGAAGAAAGTTGTAAGAAAATATTATTTTAGTAGTTTGGATAGCATGAAAAGGAAAAGAAAATGATTCTACTTACCCAAAATACCCTTATAATTTTAAATAGTAAATAAATAAATAAATTTATGTTTGATAAATATTATTTATACTTAATTATTTATTTTAATAAGGAAATAGTGAAATTTTGAATAGAATAGTATGTGATATCATAATATAATTTTTTTTGTTTTCTCCTCTCTCTCTATATATTCACTTGTTCCTGTGTAAACTTGCATTCTCGATCTTTAAGGTAAGAAAAATAAGTTTTTGGTAAAGTGGATTATCAAAGTTCAAGTATTTATTTTCTCTTTATGTTAGTTTTAATTTTATTTTTTATTATTTATTTATAAATGATGTAACTGAATACTAATGTCTAATTACAACTTTCTCACTAAGAAAATAAAGTCATAGATAGATTATGTAAACTATTTACGAATCGTCAATTATTTATTTCAAGATAATGTTTGATGTGAGGTATGAAACAAATTGTGTTAAGATAATGTAGACTAGTTTTCACCTAACACTCTTATTATCAACAAATAGTTTTGTATATATTTTACTTATTTAAGGCATTTAAAAAAAATGAAAAAAAAAAATAATTCAGTAATAAAAGGAAAAAATTAATTAATTTGGGATGCATATATAAAAAAAATACAAACAATTTAATTAGTAATACATGATTTTATAAAAAAAACAATTTACAGAAGAAATAAACTCTCCTTTTCCAAAAAAGTCTATGTAATTAAGTAAAGAAGAAAAGAGATAACTAACATGGGTATAATAGGAAAGTAATATACAAAGTACACAACTTTTGCGAGAAAGTGAATTTCTCTGCGTTTTTTGTATGAAAAATTTTAAGGAAAATTTTCAGATGCGGGAATCCTACTTTCCCCAAAACTTTCACTTTCCCTCTAACCAAACTTCCAAAAAATTTAAATATTTTCCTTTTCTTTTCTTTTCTCGCTACTTGACGCTAACCAAACGGACCCCAAAAGATTCTTTTTCTTTTCTTTTTTATATTTGAATGTTTGACTAACAGTAATTTCTACCACTATTAAAATATGAGTAGTAATACTTACACGGAAAACTTGTCATGAATAGCTGAATTGAATAGTTTTTTATTGGTTATTTATGCAAAATACAAGTAAGTGGTGAACCCCGCTCCCTTATTTGTTGCATAAATGACCAATTAAAAACAATATATCTAACAATTCACTGCACTAGTCGGTGCAAAAATTATTTTTCATAAAATATATATAGGGATAGACCTAGGACATGATGTTTCCATTGTTGTAGTATTTGAGGAGAGTCGGATTTACATGATCTCATCTCTCCAATGAGAGACTGTTTCCAATTTTAAATCCGTGAGATACCTTTTACTCAAGGTTTTGTTTGGATTGATGGAATTGGAACGAAAAGAAAAGATAGAGATTTTCAAGTTTGATTTGTTAATGAAGAGAGGAAAGAAAGGAATTGAAGGTATGGGTTATCTCTCCGAATCCCTCTTTTGTTATACTTCCAAAAATATATAAAAATATTTGGAGAGAAAAGATAACAACTATAATATCGAAAATAACCTCAACATTATATAAAGAAAATTATATTTGGATCCCACCTTAACATTAAGATATAATAATAAATTGGTTAAAATAGTAAGGTTTTTTTATTATTATTTCACTCCTTTACCTTTTTCAAACAAGAATATCATTCTTTCCTTTCTTTCCTTTTATAGTTTGTTCAAATAAAAATAAATAATATTGCTATGTTTTCTTTCTTTTCTCCATAACTAATATTATCTTTTCTTTAAAGTTTCTCCAATTCTCACTTGATTTTATACTAATGAAGTAATGATCATGTCAATTGTTTCAGTAAATTTAAAAACCTCTTCAAACTTGCGTATTTAATGAAACTAAGTCCAGAATCCAAATACAGGTGAGCTTCAATTGTTCATAATATTCAACCTACAATTTTACTTACTGATAAAAATAAAATAAATAAATAAAATAAAATAAAATAAATAAATAAATAAACCTACAATAATTTGAATCTAACATCAAATAAATATTGGTGCGAGGATGACTTCTCTATAATTCTCGAATTCAAAATGGAAATACGCATAGGATGGCTTTCGACATGACAGTTGGTCTAAGGATATGGCTCTTATTCATTCTGTTTGAGAAATGAAGAGGACATGGTTTTTGATATGTAGGAGAACAAAGAGAATAGTGGTAACGGGTAACACATTCATTTAATTAAAAATAGAAAAATAAACACATTATGGGAGCCCAATTAAATCACATCCCTCCAATTCTACTTAACCTCAAAAACCCTAACCAACATAACAGAAATCTTAGTACTATATCAACCCATTGCCTCACAAGATCGAATTCAAATCACAGCCAAACCAACCAAAAGGTCTCCTCCAATTCCAAAAGACTTGCCAAAGCAATGGCATCAAATATGCAAGCCCTTTTGTTCTCTTCATTGCTAGGTCTTCTTGTTATGGTGGGTGCTCACCATTATGACCCTAAAACCAAGAAAATGACTTATTTTGACAAGAACAAAATTTATCAGGTACACAGATCAAAGACATTGCATGCACCTAAAATTAAACCTAGTCACACCAAGGGACCCAAACATGTCACAAAGCCACCCCTCCGTGACACCAAAGGACCCAACCAGCCATCTAACTCCAAAGCCACCCCTCCATGACACCAAAGGACCCAACCAGCCATCTAACTCCAATGCTGGCCCTTGGAAGGATGCTCATGCCACCTTCTATGATGGACATGATATTTATTCAGGGGGAGCTTGTGGTTATGGTGACCTAAGACAACAAGGCTATGGCATGAATACAGCGGCTTTGAGCACGGCATTGTTCAACCAAGGAGCGGGCTGCGGTGCTTGTTTTGAGATCAAATGCGTCAATGATCCGGAATGGTGCGTCGCCGGAGCACATCCGCTCATTGTTACAGCAACCAACTTCTGCCCACCAAACTTCTATCAGTCAGCTGACGCTGGAGGATGGTGCAATCCACCCCGTGAGCATTTTGACTTGGCACAGCCTGCATTCCTTCAAATTGCCAATTATAAGGCTGGCATTATCCCTGTTCAATATAGAAGGTATAGTCAGATTTCACATTCTCAAACCTTGGTTCATGATAGAATCAAATTTAGCTATAAAAAAGATCATGCTAATAAACATGTAACACATTACATGTAAATTGATATATTTATTGATTTTCAGGGTTCCATGCAAAAAGCAAGGAGGAATTAGATTCACAGTATCTGGAAATCCTTATTTCGACTTGGTGATGGTACGGAACGTTGGAGGGGACGGAGCAGTCACAAGTGTTGAAGTAAAGGGTGACAAGACAAATTGGTTCCCAATGAAGAGAAACTGGGGCCAGTTGTGGGAGACCCATGAAATGTTGTGCGGACAATCTTTGAGCTTTAAGGTCACAACCAGTGATGGCAAATGTATTACTAATATGGATGTACTCCCCAAGGACTGGCAATATGGTCTGACATACGAAGGCCACAACTTCAATTGAAGAACATAGGAGCTACACATACATACATATATAGGCACCTACTCTTATATATTCTTCCACTTGCACAATTATTGTTTCATTTGGTCCCTGATGCTTGGTGGCCGTAGAAGGTTTTTGTACCAGCATGCACCAACACATACAATAAGGCATGAGCATAATAGAAATGAATCGACTAAATGGATATATAACAGTGAAACTATATGAAAAAGAAAATTATTGAAATTGAAGACCGCAGTTAATATATTTTAAATCTTTTTTTTTTTTTTTTTTTTTTGATAAGTAAATCAGTTTTTTTTTTTTTTTTTTTGATAAGTATTAATAAGTAAATCAATTTAAAACTTAGAATTTCTTGAACTCATTCATGCTGGAATGGCATCTGATGTCCTGAACACCACTTTTACCAAACTGGAATGCGCGAGCTTTTTGTAATGCTTACAAATCAAATATCATTAATCCAAAAAAAATATATAATAAATTAGCTTACAACTTCATACAATATTTTAGCTTTTTTCTTTTTTTACCTGATTGGAAATATTCAAGAAATAGTTGATGTTCAAGCTCTTTTAACATAATGTATAACTAGAAATTGCACCTCCCAAGATGGGCATCTAATGAAAAATAACCCAATGTGGATTTGTTACACATGCATCATAACCCCAATTTATGGTACCTTCAGACCTCAACATTTTAGAATTATGCACCAAACGTAAAGCAATAATCGTTTAAGCACTAGAATAGGTCATGCAATCTCATTATGGAATCTTACCCCAAGTTCCTTGTTGGAGAATAAATATAATTCCACATTACCCAATAATTGCTTAAGAGGTTACCGTAAGAAAATATAGCTCTAGAATAGAAACCCCAATCGAATTAGGAGTTTGAGACATCTCAACAGTTTACAAGCCACATGGGCAGCTACTGAAAAATGGCCTACCCCTGATATCCAGAATTGAAGTCATGAAGTCGAGAGCCAAGATTTATGCAACATTTATGCAATTGTATGATTAATTTACCTTGAAAGAAATGATCTCTTAAGGTTCAGCCGCAAACAGAAGAATCTGGTATCTTTTATCAATGGATTGGACCCTATGCTCATGAACATGTAAAAGATAATGAAAGATTAGGATTTGACATGGTCCTCAAAAAGTAAAGTTGCAATTCAATGTAAAGCTCTGCAAGTGCAATACATAATAAAAAGGACATTTGGAGTAAAAGGATCAGCAAAGGCCATCAAAACCACACAAATTATTAAAAAGGAAAAAAATTGTAACAAATAATATAGCCCACCTGCTCAAAGGATGACATAAACCAGTGTCTCGGCTTTGTGTTGTCTTTAATCTCAGGATATTCAATCTGTGCCAAATAACCAAAGTTACTGTGAAAAACATAATACTAATAAAATGTACCTGTTTTTTAATGCTAAGTATGCCATAAACAAATTTCTTAAATAGACTTGTATAAGAAAAATAAAAAGTTCAGTCCCATCCCTCCTTCCCCCAAGGAAAGAAATAGAAAAACTTCCCCCCGAATCCCCCCCACCACCATAAAAAATAATATAAATAAATAAATAAATGAAAAAAAAAAAAACATCTCATCCCCTTCACACAATCAAATTACGATCTCACTAGTGGCTGTAGAGAAAGAAATTTTCTCACCTGCTATAGCAATCCATGCCCTGGTACCTTGGGCATATGGATTTTTTGGACTTGAAAAGAACTTTGCTTGTAATAGAAAATTAAATGACATTTTTCATTTTTTCTATTAGAAAACAAAGCTTGGTATTCTTGAACCCATATTCCAATCAAGCCAACAATTCAGTCAAACTTTTCCCCGCCCAAATTACTATAAAGAAATCTTTTCCCCACTCTTCCCCTGGCAATGCAAAAGCAAAACAAAGCAATTATGATAAACTAAAATATGAACCCAATACCCATCTCCAAAGAGGTTATATGACCTAATCTCAAGCTATAAATGCCATTCTTACAAGGACAGATAAACTCTTTCACCCGTGGCAATCATGCCATGGTAATATGTAATTTTTAACAGCTTCCCTCTTTTCTCATGATTAATGGTTAGCAATAGATTCTTTTTCTTTTCTTTTTTTCGTTTTTAAATATTTGACTAATAGTAACTTCGGCCTCCATGAAAATATATATCTTCTGCTTAAAAGTTTCTCCAATTGGTCGCTTGATTTTATACTTATCATCATGTCAATTGTTTCATTGAATTCAAAAACCTCTTCAAACTTACTATTTAATGAAGCTAAGTCCAGAATCCAAATACACAGGTGATCTACAATTGTTCAAAAGATTCAAACTATCATAATTTGATTTCAATATCCAACAAATATAGGTGCAGGGATGATTTCCCTATAAACCTCTAATTCAGAATGGTAATAGGCATAGGATGGCTTTTGGCATGACTGTTGGTATGAGGATGTTGCTCTTAAGAGGTCCTCCATTCTATTTGAGTTATGAAGAGGCCATGGTGGTTGATATATTTTAGGAGAACAAAGAGCAGGGTGGTAAAGGGCCTCGAACTTGAGAAGGAAATTCATGATCAGAATGTGGAGAACTTGCTTAGTCTGTTATATATAGAGTGAGTAGAGAGCACTTAGCCGCTTTGCGAGTTGAGGGTGTCAATGCAGCTCTCCGATATGAGCCACTTATTCTGTACATGTGAACTCTTACTTCTTTTTTGCACGCACTGCTCATTCCTACTATTGGTAATCGATAAAGATATTATATCTTAAATCCCAAGTACAAGAAAGTGAATTCACACCTGGAAGACAAGAAACCTCTGCTTCGTCTCTGGATCAAACCGCTTCGTCACCCGGTAACCAGGCCACCCAATTTTAACTGCAAAGACACTACGAATATATTTAGAACTCCCGAATCACGAAATTAAGAAGCTGAGTGCTGACACTATAATTTGACAACATCTCTTGCAGTTCTTAAGTAAATGGGGGGAAAAATTCCCATTTCAGTGGAGATTAAACAAAAAAAAATGTAGAAGAGTTTAAAGTATCATGGATACTCAAAAATGATAAAATTCGCATGATACTAAAGTATTCTTTTTATAATACTTAAGGATTCTTTTTTTTTTGATAAGTAAATAATCAAAGATCCACTAAAGGGTGCTGAAGGTTGCATCTTATGTATTTGCAACGTATACAAGACAATAGGAAGCCAGAAAATGTAGTGTTCAAAATCTAATAGACAATAGGAAGCCAGAAAATGGTCTCCACTTCTTCTGGAGTGCATGGGAACGGCAGAGGGGCCTCGTCCGGATTCTTCGGGCGGGGAGCACGGGCTGGCCTCGTGCCCCTCTTACTGGGAGGCTCATCCGCAGCTGAAACTTGAGGTCTACGTCTACCTCGATACTCTTCCTGTGTAGCGGCCTGTGCACAAATAGCGAGGTTACTTGCCAAATTCCGAGACGCCTCTATTAGGTCGGCGAAAGTGAGGAGCTTGAGGTTAATGAGATGGATTCGGTAAGACCCTGCATGCCTTGTATGCAAATCTTAGCCAGCGCCTCTTCTTCATGGGTTTCGTAACATTCCATAGCTCGGTCATGAAATCTGTAGACATAGGTAAGCAAATCTTCTCCAGGGCCTTGAGTCTCTTTAGTCAAAGAAAGAGTAGTCACCCTTTCCTCTGCCTGAAAGAACTTCGATTGGAAAATCGTGGCTAGTTGGTTCCAGGTAGTGAGCGACCTGGATTCTAAATTTGCATACCATTTGTAGGCTCTATCCGTGAGAGTTTTAGAAAACTCCCTAAGTCGCAGAGTATGATCGTTTCTGAAGGGCCCCGATGCCTCAATAAACCGCACCACATGTTCTCGCGGGTTTCCTTTCCTTCCATCAAACTTGCTGAACTTAGGGGTCAAGTACCCCAAGGGGTAAAGGAGAAGCGCGATGGATTGTGTGTAAGGTGGTTTAGGGGCTACTTCCTGCATCAGCATATTCTTTTCGTTTCGCAGCAGCGTTTGCAGATCCGCCATAGTTACATACGGCGACCACTGCACAGGGTCCTGTTGATGTCTGAACCCCTCCGAGCCCGTGTCTCTGTGATGAGCCTCCCTCCGACTGGTACTTTGGCATACCCAACCTTGTGGGTGCCGTAAGAGGAGTACTAAAAAGGGTTCGGCGAGCCCGCAGCGATATATCTCGCGATCACTTGTGTTGACCGGTGGCTCGCCTTGCCTCGACTGATGACGAGAACGTCTGTCGCGCCGGATTGTCCGGGGTTGCATGTTCCCCAGTGAGCTCATCAAAGAGGTTATCGCTCGGATTTGCACCTCGCTGAAGTGCTCTTTGGTCAGCAATCTACCTCAGCAAGGTCACTACCTCCCTCTGGGTGCCTTCAAGCTGCTCCATTCTGTGCGACAGTGCATTATGGCCTCCGACTAGAGCATTAGGATAGGTAATCCTAGTTCCGGGGAAGTACAACCCAGGCATACATATAGACCCATTGTAGCCTTCGCCTAGGGCAGGGCTAGTTTGAGAGGGCGGATTGATCTCTTGTATGCTTGACATAGGTGAAACGCTCCTCCCCAGCGGAGTCGCCAAAATGTTGATAGTAGTTCGTGAGTAGGATGAGGAGATCGTTCCACGTAAGCTAAGAAATCTGAGATCAGTATCCAAGTGGAGATCCAAGTAACACAAGAGATTCTCTAGGTATGAAGATTAAGAAAGGGAAGGCCGACCTTGGTACCATGTAAGCTCGAGCTTATCAGAGGATAGCTATTAATGTGGTGGTTGTTGTCTTAAAGGTTGATTAACACCCCTATTTATAGTGTTTACCTCCTCGGTCAATATCTTTTAGTCCTTTGGCTGAGCCCGCTCTTACCCAAAGGTTTGAGGGTCTCTCCTTCTGACGGATGAGACATTGATGGACAGGCCGCGACGTTTTGCACCCCAGTCAAAAGAGGTAACGGCGCTCCCTAATTAATACGGGTCTTATCAAACGTCTTTCGCAATTAATGCGTTCCTTATCCTC